AATTCCTGGAGCCTGATATTCCAGCTTAGTTTAGGAGTTCTGCTGGGCAGAGAGACCAAACATCCTGAGGAAGGAGTCAGCGTGCCCTGTGCTATCTTAAACCCGAGCTCAGCCTTGGGTGAAGCCTTCTCTCTGGAACATCCTGTGTAAACTGGGCTCTGGCCTCATCTGGGGCGGGATTCATTAGAATAGGGGGACATTACTGCATTTGTGAACTTTCTTATTGGGGAATCCTAGATAGATATGCTAATTCCTGAAACCTATAAAACTTGTATCTGTGCTGTACACGGGTGTGCATTCTGCCATCAAGTTGTGCACCTGGGATCCCAAATACTGAGGTAAAACCCTTTTTATCCCCTTAACCGTGTCTGTGTCATTATTAAAAACTGGCCTTTCAAGGCAACACATAGATCTGCACACCCTGTGTATTCATGGATCTGCATGCGTGTGTGTACATGGGTCTGCACACACGTGTGGGGGTGTGTGTGTTTTGCCACTCAAGAAACTGATTAGCCAGAGTGTAYGGAAARTGACGCTATGAAAAGCCAATATCCKCAAAGGAGACAGAGGAGTCCTGYAACTTYATTCGAATAAAGGGAGAGAGTCCACAGGGACACAGCCCGCGGGTTTTTGTTTTTTTTCTCGAGGTTTCAGAGGGCGCAAGCTCCTTTTATCCCAAACTCCCGGTCCTCTTCCTTTCCCCATCSGCTGAGGTACCAGGAAGGTTCAGCCTTCCTGAGCTACAACGTATCTCCTCTTGAACCTGTCGTCTTCCCCYRAAAGTTCAGAAACTCRGGCTTGTGCAGACCAATTCATTTGTTTCATTCAAATTGTCTGGGCTGTGTAACAGACCTGCTGCTTGAAGTTAATAGAGACATTAAGACCCATTTCAATGACCTTAACACCCATACCTTCACCCATGGAATTGTTTGTAAAGACATTAGCACACAACTTCTCTACCAGGAGCACAGTGAGGTTTTGGTGGTGTTGGTGTTCCTGTGAGGGCTGTGTCTCCATCTCTGTAGCCAGACCCACATATGGGTGTATCCATGTGTCTGTAAATGTGTATAGTTGTGTGTGCACACTGATGTCACCAGTGAGTGATTTGGGCACTCAAAGGTACTGGCAAAGAGCACATTTTAATACAAATTTGTGAAAATGCAACCTAAGGGAGTTCAATTACAATGTTCACCCTGTTACTGATACATGGCTGAAGTATGCATAGGAAAATCAGATTGGAATCTATTTAGGATTATTTACATGGAGGCAAAGGATGCAAAAGGGTCAGGGTGCAAAGGATATGAAGGATGTGAAGAAGAAGGCCATAACACCATGGGGGTTCTCTCTTGAGGTTTCAGAGGGCACAGCCTCCTTTTATCCTAAACTCATGGCCACATATTGCCTTCTTCCTTTCCCCATTGGCTGAGGTACTAGGAAGCTACAGCCTTCCCGAACTACCTACTACATATTCTGCCTTGTACCTGTATTGTCATTTCCCCACCGTTTGGAAGTTCAGGCTGTCTGGGCTCTGCAGATCCACCAGAAGTTCTGACTGAGTTCTGCAATTGTGTGTACCCATTTTTCCAGTTACCCTAAAGTTCAGAAGTTCCAACTGTCTGAGTTCTGTAAAATATTTGCCCCACTTGATGTTTGTAGAGCTATTAGGACCCATTTGAAGACATTAACACCTATTTCTCCTAAAGATCCCCACCCAGTGAGTTATTAGCATTCATCTTTCCTATCACATCTTTCCCATCAATTCTAAGTTTCCATTCTGGCCATAACCCAAGTTGGGAACAATGGTACCGTTGGAACTCAAGTTCCAACTCAGGTAAAATATTTACCAGGTTTGACAAAGATAACTGTTTATCCTTTGTTTTCCACTTTGGAGAACACTTTTGGTCACAGAAAACTGTTATGGTCAGACAAGCTGGCAGGTCTTCRACTGCAACTGGAATTGCTCCGTAAGCCTTGCTGGGAAGGGTCTGATGTCATCTTGTCCCTTTGTCCTTCAAACTATGTGGCTGCCCCTGCTAGGCACAACCTTGGGAAGGGTATTTTCCAATATTTTGAGTCTCTGTTCCGGCGGGGTGTGTGTGGTTTAGCAATTTTGTATCTAGCAGTTATTTACTGTTATTTTTTGCCTGATGCTGTTCCGTTTGTTAGTGAGCTGTTATTTTTTTTACATGGATCTGCCCGTATTTCATTCGTTAGTGGTGGAAAGCTTGGAATTAAGGTGAGGTAACTCATTTTAGAGTGCCCACCTCTTTAAATCGTCTTAAACCAAGACAATGCCAGCATGTAAAATAGCTCTGCCTTGAGCTACTTGAAAGAATTAAGTCTTCTGGGTCACAGGAGGCAAAAGAGCCTGCCCTGTAGCTGGGGAAGGGGAGAAGAGGCTGGGGAAGAGGGTGTTCTGGCAAGCCTAATTTGAGCTTTTTTTTTTTTCGCTTTTTTTTTTTTTTTCTTTTTTTTAAGATGCAGCCATCTACATAAACATTTCTTTCATGGTTAATTTATACATTCACACAAGACAAGAGTTTAAGCATCCCTTTATTGCATAAGCACCAAAGAAGTCACTGCTCCCCTAGCAGCAGCAGAAAGCACATAAAGAAGCAAACATGGTTTCAGTGTTATCACCTTTCATTCATGCTCTGTTGCTGAATTCAGCTTTTGTTTGGAGAAAGGACTTATGAACTAAACGGCAAAACATTTCCCTCTCCTAACAGGTTTTTCAACCTCTAGTTTCCTCACAGAGATGCTGCCTGCATTCTAGGCTCAAAGAATGATAAGAAAAGCTGTATTCACTCAGGCCAAATAGGTTTTAGTGTCCTATCCATCATACCAGCCAGGAGTAGAAGCTCAGATAAATTTAAGGAGCAAGGTCATGTTTCAGCATAGTTTTCTCTCTCTGACAGTGAGAGAAGCCTCCACTAGCGACTGTCCTTGTCATAAGGCAACATGATTCTGCAAGTCTTATACAGTGCTCATTAATTTTTTATATTTTCTCAATTACAACAAGAATGGGCAAAAAAAAAAAATAAAAGGAGGGAGGAGGGGAGGAAGAGAGAGGTGGATGAGAACAGAGAAAGATACAAAAAGAGAGAGAAACCCTGAATGTTGCTAAGCCCTGTTAGTTAGGGCAATAAAACCTTGAGTCAGGATTATGCAAGGAAATGGCTGAAACTCCACCTGCAGTGGCCTGTTGCTAAACCTAGTTTGTATTAAGCTACGAGCTGTAAGTTCTCTGTTTGCATTGCAGCAGTGTGAAGGCTTCCAGAGTTAGCACTAGCCACTTTAATTCCCCACACCCATCCATTTCCCCATTTCCCTGGCCTCCTCTTCAAACACCGTGGTTCTCCAACTCTGGCGATCCCGAGAAAACGATCAACACCCATGGAGGGATTTAGCAACCCCTGACAAAGGAACTCAGGTTTTTGCCCCTGCAGTGGTTTTTCCAGCCGTACCTGGAAAAGAAATACATTATGTAATTTGAGGAGTCAGATAATGATTAAATTGGTTATAAAAATAGACTTTCTTAGTATTTGAGAGTCTTGGGTGAAGACTCTCAAAGATCTCTCTGAAAGATATGAATAAATGAAAATTATCATGAGCTCAGTGCAAGTGAGCTGGGGGAAGGGGGAGAGAACAAAAATGAGAGCTCTGGGAGAGGAGGCAAATTTAGGGAATTAGAGGAGGTGCTGTGAGACAGGATTCCTATCTTCTCCTTTCAGCTTTAGGAGAAGGACTGGGCTAAACTCCACCAAATACAGCTTCCACCCACTGATCCCCTGCCTCCCTCAGGCAATAGCAGGATTGTCTTTGATCGCCTCCACCCACTTTTCCCCAGTGTCCACTGCAAATATCCTTACCAGGGACTGAGGCCATGAGCCTCTCGAGCAATCTTCTTGGCACACTGAATATCATCCTCAATATTATCATCTTGCAGTTCTGTAGAGAAGGGAGGAAAGATCACTATGAGGGAAAGAGGGGTAGAGGAAGAGCAGGAACAGACCGGCAGAAGGAAAGGTGTCCATCAGGAGGAAAGGGTAGGTGGGACACTGAGAAGATGGATGAATAGAAGGACAGAGAAATGCCCAGAGCACCTGCTAGGCAGGTGTCATGAACAGAGCAGGTGTTTTTTTCATGGAATGAACAAAGAAAGGTTCTTTGTTCTGTCCTACCACTTACTTGAGCAACTGATATGGCAGGCGTTCTTGGATCCAGGGGTCCGGCCATCATTGCACCAGTACTTGCTGTTGATCTGGAAGATGCCATAGTCCCTGCTCGGACCATTGTTATTGTACGCTTTGGTGTTATAATCACTCTCGTGTTTCACCAGGCACATCCCTGCAGGAGGAAGAGAGATCCCAGAGGAGAACATTAAAGTATGCTCAGGGTAAATAAGAAGAAAGATGTGAAAGGATMAAGGATGAATGAAGTGGTGGAGAAGTAATTAAACTGGTGATATCATGACCTTGAGAATTGGATGGGTAAATGCTTGGAAGGACAAAGCTCTAGATGGGTATTTGTTGTGTGAGCTATAGAAGGGAGCAAGGAAGGGGATGAGGAAGAGAAAAGATGAATTCAAAGAAATGGAGGGACAGAATAGAACTGCTGAAAGATCTAAAAGAAGCTGAGAGAGACAAAGGTGGTACAGGCAGAGAGGTGCCATGGCAGCTCATTATACTTACAGTCAGCAACAGTTGTGCCCTCAAAGCCCTCAAAGCCATTCCGACGTAGGATCTTCACCATCTCACATCTGGAGATGATTTTTCCCTGGGTGCCTGGCAGAGCCAGGCCAAGGAAAACAAGAAGAAAGCCAAGGAAGAGCATTGCCTTTGCCATCATGCAGTCCACAGCAAGATGTGCCCAAGCAACTTGAGCTGTCTGTCTGCAGGACTGCCTGCAAGGCCAGCCTTTTATTCCTGCTCCCAGAAGGAGGATCAGCTGGCTAAGCAAGCATGTCTGGGAAATCTGGGCGGTCTTTACAGTAACAAGCCAACAAAGAAATGGGCCAAACTCCAAAACAAATTCCTGGAGGGTGCCAGTAATATTTCACTGGTCCTTCAAGGCTGGGGCAAAAAGTTTTCCACAGGCAATCCAGCAATCCTCAGTTTGATATTACTCCAAATATCATAGATCAAAGGTTGTTGTTGCCTCTGTGTGGGTGTGTCATGGTTTAACCCCAGCAGTTTGCTAAATCACTCAATCTCTCCCACCCTGGTGGGATGGGAAAGGTAAATGTTAGAAAACTTGTGGGTTGAGATACAGACAGATTAATGGGGAAAGCAGAAGTCACACATGCAAGATAAAGCAAAACAAAGAGGTGACACACTCCTTCCCATCAGCAGGGAGGTGTTCAGCCTCCTCCAGGAAATCGGGCTCCTCTGTGTTAACAATGGTTTGGGAAGACAAACATAATCACTCCAAATGTCCCTGTCCTTCCTCCTTCCTTCGGGTTTGTACTTTGAGCATGATATTGCATAAGATCTGGGATATTCCATGGTTCGTGGGGGTCACCCATCTCCCCTGCATCCCCCATCATGGTTTAGGAATAATRTTCCCCAATTTAGTAGTCCCRTTAAAAAGACCATAAGCTGCCTCCCCTCACACTCTCTGATCACATGTTGGGATGTAAAGAATTTACTGGGAATGCCAATGAGTTAATAATCTACATGAAAAATGTCCTCAAATAGAACCTCTTGTGAAGGAGATGAAGGAGTAGCCAATCTTATGTTCTTAATTCATCTTCCTACTATCCCTTGTGAAATATTTCTGAACAATAAATGACATACGGTAGAAAGAAGCCTGATTTATTATGGTTTTGTTTACAAGCCATGGCAGATCACTGGACATTTATTGGTCACTATCTCCAGATGGGTGCCTTTGACAACAGTTTTTTTTCTCATACTATATAAACCAAAAAGCTCAAGAAAATAGAGATAAGAAAAAAATCTTCAAAGGTAAAAATAAAAAGAGGCAATGGTTATCAAAGACATAAACCTAACAAGATATGTCATAACTGAGTTGCAGGAGTGTCTCATATTGGCGTGTCCAATGTAGAAATAGCAAAAGGTGACTGTGCTGGGTTTGGCTGAGTTAATTTCCTTCCCARTGGCTGGCATGGGGCTGTGTTTTGAATTTGTGCTGAATGTAGGGATGTTAATAGAGGTGTTTTTGTTATTGCTGARCAGTAGTCACACAGAGCCAAGGCCTCTTCTCGCTCACCTTGGTTTTAAGGCTCAGATGCAATGGTGTGCAATTAAAGCAAAACCAGCCCAGGTGCTCTCAAAGCAGCAATAATGCACTGTGGAAGGCAGAGTTTCTTGGGGTAGCTTAAAGGAATGAAAATAAGATAAAGTTTATAACACAGAATTTATCCACTTCTGAAAGGCTTAATCTAGTGACTGTTAAGTATCCGTTAAGATCGGGCTCTTTTCCTAATTTGGTGTGCTGGGGATATTAATCTTTGGGATGGGAGTGGGCACCCTTGAAAAGTGATTATTGCTTGGGATAGAGAAGTGCACGTGGGATGATGATGCAGGACATTTTGCTCTGCCTGATCAGAGAAACTTCTGTGGGCTTGGGATAATGTGTTAGGATTTCAGGTGAACAATGCCTTGAGTAACCCAAGTGTTGGTGGGCTTTAAATCATGTTTTGTCTTGGTGAGAACTGGAGTGCTATCTCATGGGAAGGATCTTGTGTTCAACTGAGTTTTGTGCCAGTGCAAAAGGGCTTTTTAGCCTTCCACAGAGAATTTCCAGTTTGGTTTTAAATGGTTTAAACCTGTCTGAGGTTTGCCATTCCTTGGAGAGGTGACCTCATATTCTAGTAGGTGTCATTATTCTCTCTCCTACAGGGCAGCAGATCTGTATAAAGCTATTTGTGATAAACATCAATGCTGCAGTTTTCATGTTTTGTTTTTATTTCTTAGTGGCTTAGAGCCTGAAGTGTGGGGGGGTTTAAGATGTATTAAATCTTGTATCACTGGTTGCTTTTGCCTAGTTTACTGTGACTGTGGTTTATTCTAGGCAAGGCTTTATTCCTTCTGGGAAAGGGATCTCCTTTGCTGAGGCACTTTTAGAAAGTGTTGCCTGGAGACSGTTTGTTTAGTGTAAAACTTCAGTGCTTGGCTTTACAATTGAGTAAATGGTTTTGAAATGACTGACAGGTATTATAAAATACATAAATAATTGTGAAACATATCTTTTTTATTTTATTTACCCTTGTATAGTGCAGAATTTTTTTCCAAAACCCACTTTGTATAGAAGGCTGAACTTTTTAAACAAAGTTTTGCACAACTTGGTAACTTGAGAATCAATTGTCAGATAAGATTTAAACTTGAAATCTTTTATGAAATTTTTAAGAAGAGTCTCACATTTCCAACAATAGCTTTCCTACATTATTTGAAGGAACAGTGGAAGTTCTTTGGGGAAATGTGACACCTGAATAGCTTTTAGTTGCAGGAGGGTTCACTGCTCATTTTGTGCCATAGCTTGAAGTTGGCTTCCTTATTACTTGTTGGTGCTTCCATGTGGGATTGCCTTACTTGTCTGATCCATAAGAAAAGTGACAGTTACACTCATTAGAGCTTTTGCTGTCAGGGGCTTCCCCAGCATCTTAGACTTGAAGCTCAAGTGAGTAGAATGACCTACTTCCATATATTGGYCATGTGGAAGAATATTTGTTCGCTGAGTTGATTTTTTTTTKRRGRWTTTTKKTTTTTKGKTTKGKKGKTTKGKTTTTTTTTTTTKGTTTAAGRGACAGGTGTCTGCCAAGTAAGGTAGGAACCTGCTTTGGAATGGAAAATGTGACACCSTTCCCTCCAAATCATGAAGACTTTGAAATTATGGGGCTGTCAGGCAAAGATACCGGAAAATGAATAACAGTTCTTCACTATTGTGTATGACAAGACAAACAACAACGGCAGCAMCAAGAAAYCAAAAGASRGAGCCAGCGCCAGCCTTCTCCGGGTGCTGAGCCCTTTCCCCTCGCTGCAGTTCCGCTCACAGCCGGCAGGGGCGCTGCGGGCTCCGGGCTGCGGTGATTCCGCCGCGCCTGCAGGGGGCGCTGTGGCGCGGGCTCAGCCCCTCCGCACGCGGGAAAGGGCGCTCAGCCATGGCAGAGATGGAAAAGGGAAAGGAAAAGGGGAAAAGGGGGAAAAAGGAAAAGGGGAAAAAGGGGCTGCTGTGCAAACTCCGGGGTGCGGGGAGAAGCCAGTCCCAGTGCCACTCCAGAGACAGACGGTGGCAGGGATTGCAGAGCAGGCTGGAACAGTCTAGGTTGCAAACGAAGTGTAACAGAAACTCTGATGCATTAGCAGAAGCCATCGGAATTCAGCAGACAGGGAATGTTGAGTTAAAGTGTATCAAAAAGCCCAAAGCAGTGGCWGAAAATGAGCGGGGCTGGGCAGTGGCAGCYGGGCTCCTGCAAGGGGCCCAGAGATGCTTCTTCTGGGGAGGAGGGGGCTCTGGGCTGGGGGTCGCGAGTTTTCCGGTCGCGAGTTTTCCCCTAAGACACTGGAGTAGATGGTGAGGATCCTTTCCAGTGAGATCAGGTATTGATGTGRTCTCAGTTCAACGTCTGCTCTGACAAGCAAAGCCTCACTCACGGTAGGAGAAGCAGTAAACGACGGAACTCTGCGGTGGCAGCGAATTCTCTCCACAGTGACAGCCACAGCCCGACCATCTCACCTCCAATCCCAAGAGTAAGAGAGAGCGAGCAGCTGAGCCCAGCCCCTCATCCCCCCCAGCCCCTCATCCCCAGCCAACATCTCACAGTATCTCTGCACTTCCCAAGATCAATCCCCCCAGGTAGGAGGGTAGCCAATGGCACCCTTCCCCCTTCTCTTCCTCACAGCCACATCTTTTATCTCTTAACTATTGTAGTTATTATCTCTTAGGCAACAAATGGGAGCAAATTCCCTGAGAAAAAAAAAAAAAAGAAAAAATTCTAACCTCCAACACCTTTCTTCTTCTTTTGTGTTTTCTTCTTTATTAATCTTGGCCCTCAGCTGAGGCTATCTGGTCTTCCAACCTTCCRTGAACCTGCACCCGGTAAATGCAGGTGTACCAGGGGTTTCCCCAGTTGCTCTTCACAAGAAGTTTGACRTGTGAAAAGGCTCTGGGAAGCAGCATGTTCTGTGAAGAGGGGAAAGGGGGCCATTGAAAGCAACAGTGAAATCAACATGTGTTGTCCTGCCAGCCGTGTTTGTGCTCAGGAACAAGCGTCCAAGAGTAGGTGGAAGAAGCAATAGAGATCTGAATCTAGTACCAGAGCTGCTGGGGAGGCTGGGGACAAGGGAAGGCCATTGTCAGCTTGCCAGCAGGGCACCGAGTGGAGCAACAGTGATGCCTGACAGATTTTGCCACCACTTGTCCCTGTTTCACCACAGCTTAAGGTCCAATTGTGGTTTGGGTGGAGTAGCTGCATGTGCATCTGGCTTTTCTGAAGGCAGTGGCTGCAGCCAGGGATCTCTCAGGAGCTGTGTTGCCATGGGCCTTTGGCTACCACAACCACGTGCTAGTCAGCCCTCCAAACCCCACCAAAACTTTTTCTGCAGCGATCCAGGACCCTCTGCTCAGGGAGGAAACATTCGCACCCCTCCTGCCATGGGCTTGCAAGCAAACCTGTTTTCTGGCATCTGGCCTRTGTGTGTGACATACCTTCAGAGTAAAAGTCTGCTTGGGCCCTTTTTCCAARTTGTAGGTGAACATCCCCAGGAGAGTTTCCTCTTCTCTGTCTGCATCCACTCCCTCAAGGGCAAAGCACAAGGACAGCAAGTTGGGCTTGTCCCAACAAATAGGGAACGTACAGGCTGGATCAGTCTTCTCATGTACCCAGCCTCTCCCAGGGCTCCAGCAGCAGTCTGGCATTGGTTAGGGTAGAGCTCAGCCTCTGCCTTGTGTTTTGGTCAAGAACCCTTAGGA